TCCACTAGGTCCATCCAGTTTCTAAAAGGCTCACCCAAAATGACCTCTTGAATTACTTTCAATATTAAAATTTTAATAATAAATTTAACATTTAAAAAAAAATTAAAATAAATCACTAAATGTGTTCTTTGGCTTTGTCCACACAGCAGGTAAAAGTGGCCCAAATCTGATCTTTTTCTTTATATGTGACACAGATGTGTGTCTGTGTGTCAGTGTGAACAGCAAAAACACTGAATCGGACATTTTCAGTTCTGATTTGAGACGCTTTCATATGTGGAACTAGAATCCAATACGTATCCGATCTGCGGCAGTGCAGCTCAGTCTGAACAGCCAGATCGGAATTCATGTGACTTTTACGTCAATCCAGCTCCACATTCAGTTTCTTGCTGCCAGGCTGATGTTTCTGTGCAAAAATTAGAAAAGACTCATCCAAAACCCTCCGTATTCGAAGAGGTTTTGAAAGAAATGTCCGAATGCGGCTGCAGGAGAACGAGGCTGCAGCGTCAGAGAACAGTTAAAAGTCTGAAAGCAGAGTTTAAAGAATCCGAGGACGCGAACCAAAGAAGTGACCGCGCCCTTTTTACGGCTCAAGCACATTCAGAGTGACGAGCCCAGCTGTCAGTCAGTGAAGTTTCATGATGGCTCCTGTGATGCTGGTGAAGATGAAGCTGATCTTCCGGGAGTGACTGGCGTCGTTGGCGGTCGTGATTGTTTGAGCCGTGGATGAGCCGTGAAGCTCTGTTCTTTCGTTCATGCGAGTCAGTCTAGGAGCTGATCTGTTCAGACTGATTGTTGCATACAGACCACATTTAAAACATATTGTGAACAGCCGAACACAAAAATCAGATTTGGTGAGAAAATCAGATTTGGGCCTCTCTTACCTGCTGTGTGAACGAAGCCTTTATACAGAATTCTGTAATCAGAATTCCAGTTTAATCAGTAGCCATAAGAGCCATTCGCTAAATGAACCTCGGAAAAAAGTCTCATCACTGAAAAACTTTTGTGCGTCAGTTTAGTTTTTTTTCCTGTTCTGATGTCGATGCAGCGCAGACACTTCGTGGTGAGGGTTAAGTTACTGCTTGGCTGAGTGAAATTCAAGGTTCGGCCCACCTGCGAATTTGTCACGTCTGTCCAATACGGCAGTCCTGCTGCAGGCCACGAACCGCTCTGTGCTGATAGTGTTCGCCTCTTCAGCCTCGCTCTGAAAGTGCTAACCAGCATTCAGCGACACTATTGATTATGTTTAAGGGTGTTTGATTGAGGTCAAGTAATCTACTAATCCTGGCAGTGTTTAATTTATCTCCACAAGTGCTGAATGTCCTCTAGAGTTTATTCAACAAAGCAGCTTTTTAAAACTCGGATTAGGGAAGATCATTGTACTTTGTGTTCCGGAAACGCGTTGTTCATTAATCTACATTTGAAGCACCGTTTACTCGAGGACTCCTGTATCCGGACACTTCCCTTTTAGCCTTGATCAACTCCCGTGAGATAAGCTCACCTTACTGGGGGGATCTGATTCTCATCTAATCAACAAATCGCAGAGCAGTACACTTTTCGAAGGGCCCATTTTTCATGAATTTTATCTTTTCTGTAATGTTCAGTTTATGTAGCAAAAACAGTCAGAATTTATTTTACATTAACATTTTCCAACCTTTCTGTATGACATAGAATTAAACAGGCTTTTTCATTACTGTGCCTTTAAAACCGATGTATGTGAATGACCTCTGTCCTAAATGGCTGCCCTTTTATTATTTAAAACCCAGTACAGACTGGAATGTACAGAAAACTGTTAAATTGGGACTGAAATCTTCAAGGCTGTGGGGACAAATAAACTTCAGCCACTCCTTTTGGAAGTCTGGATTCTGAAATGTTTAATTAATTTAATTTTCCACGTCTTCCACTCCAATAAATAATGATACAGACTGTCTGCAGGAACAGCACTCCACATCACTTCAACAGGAATGGGAGGAGCTAAACTGCTGTAGTCCAAAGGGGTGGGGCTAAATTGCTGCAGGTTGAATTGGTGGCGCTTAACTGCTGTAGGCTGAATGGGTGTAGCTAAACTGCTGTAGGCTGAATGGGCGGGGCTAAACTGCTCTAGTCTGCATGGGTGGGGCCAATGTGTTCCAAACTGAATGGGTGAGGCTAAATTGCTGTTTTTTTCATATGTACTATAAACAGTGTTGGAACGATGTTAACATAGAACATTAAACTTTTTTATTTAAAAAAAACAGCCAAAAGTTTTTCTTTTCCTCATCACGGGCCCGTTGATTGAACGTTACAGAGCCAGAATGAGGTCTCTGAACAAAGTGGTCCAATTCTGTACGTCCCCTTTCTAATATCAAAGGTTTGCACAGCTGTGTAAACATAAAACACCAGCTGGAGATGATTAAGTTCCTCTTAGTGTCAGAACCTGCTGGCAGTGTAAATTAGTTCAGGTGTGAGGGATTATAATGTAACGTCTACTGTAAGCCTCCTGGGGAGAGTCTTGTTGTGCAAAGCAGCTAAATAAAGGCTCAGTCGCTGAAGTGCGTGTATGGAGCGACTGACCACATGCCAGTCCTGTACTGCGCTGGTTTGTAAACGGCCTTCAGGGTTGATTTGCTTTGTCTTTGTTCGGTTTTGCTGAACTGCTCACGGCGGATTCAGGCTTTGGATGTGGAGGCAGTTATTGACTAGTGCAGTCGGGCTCGGTAAATGCCAGATTGTTTGCCAAGAAATCACAAGAGTACAAACATGCATACGCTCACCTCACTGTCTCATTATTTCACTCCTATTCTTTTCCTTTCAACACTCAAACCACAAGCATCAGACGTCAGGAGGAGAAGAGAAGCGCTTTGAAACAGACCGATATCCAGTCTCATTTTTCGAAACTTTAAAAACTTCAAAAAGTCTGAATTCACCAAAATGCATCTCTTACTGGCAAAAGCAAACGTAAACGTTAACTTTCCTCATAAGCAAACGCTTCTTTAAAAACGTACACAAGCCCATCTAATCCATAAACACTACTGATTATTAACCACGCACTAATACAGGAGTTGGCAACCCAAATGTTAAGAAGAACCATTTTTTTCCTTTCAACAAAAATCAAACCACCTTGGAAGCCTTAACATTTTATGTCCATTTTACCATCTTGGCTGTGTCTAAGTATGTGTTAATGTACTGGTATAGGCTGAAAAATATAAACAAAAACGCAGACTTACTTTGCTCTGCTTTAAGCTTTAGCTCAGCTATAGCTGCTTTTCTCACATCTCCAGCAGGAAACCTTTTCAACCAAAGTAGAGCAGTTTCTTGTAGAAATGTCTCTGAACATTTGGCTTTTTATTTTCTTGTTCGAATTTTCCTGTTCCGTCTTGAGCGTGAATGTAACTGCTGGACCATTTAAGGTGGAATGGGACAATTTGAAACAGCTTCGTGACTTTTTAGTGTTTCCGTTTCTCACTGCAGATTAAACGTATCAGGAAATCAGCTGGAGTGATTATAAACACTAATAAGTCCATTCGTCTCCAAATTATCGATGTTCATCTTAAATCTCTCTCTTTGCCGTTTCGTTAGCTACTAGCTAGACGAGACTGCTGTCTGTGTTGCTATGGTGACCAGCAGTCTGCGCTGATCTTCAGGGTTAAAGGGTGAATTAGCAGTTCTACATTAACTCCAGAGTTTAAGACCATTTATTGTTAAACTGTGTTGAACGATCAGCAGAGCTTTATTTTACTGTAAAGGAGGATTATTTTATTTTTACCTACTAATCTGATTCAGCTGTGGAGCCACAACAGGGCAGTGGAAGAGCCGCATGCAGCTCCGGAGCCGCATGTTGCAGAACGCTGTATTAGTACAATCAGTATTTCACTTTTATTTAAAGAGATGCAAATTAGTTTTTGGAGAAAGTACAATTAAACATGGACATTCTATAATTAGAATCTATTTATTTAGAAATATATTCAGAAAGAAAATAATGTGGATGCATTGTGAATTAACATTGCATACGCTCTTAAAAAAGATCAAGGGTTCTTTAGTAAAGACAGTTGTTCTATATAGAACCATGAACACTCAAAGAACCATTTGCATGCTTAAAAGGTTCTCTGCATGTTGAAATGTAGAATATGTTGTACACACTTAAAAAGATGGTTCTTTAGTAAAGAAAATGGTTCTATATAAAACCATGAAGACTCAAAGAACCCTTTTGCATGATTAAAGGGTTCTTTGCACCATTAAAAGGTTCTTCAGATTAATGGAGAATGTGCTTTAGATGGTTCTGTATAAAACCTTTTTTGAAAAGGACATCATAATAATAGAAGAACCCTTTTTGGTGCTTCAATATACAACATCATGCAAAGGGTTATTGAGTGTTCATGGTTCTACATAGAACCATTTTTTACTCCTAAGGAACCCTCAAACCCATCTTTCTTAGTGTGTATGGTTCTATATAACACCAGAAAGGGTTTTGCTATAGTTATGATGTCAAGCTTATAACAATAGCAGAACCCTTTAGTGTTATATAGAACGCTTTTAAAAAATATTCCATATAGAACCATATACAACACATTCTCCATCAATCTGAAGAACGATTCCATGATGCAAAGAACCCTTTAATCATACAAAGCGTTCTTTAAGTGTTCATCGTTCTACATAACACAATTTTTTATTCCTAAGAAAACCTTGAAGAACTATCTTTTTTAAGAGTGTGCATGGTTCTCTATAACACCAGAAAGGGTTCTGCTACAGTTATGACATCAAGCAACAGAACCCTTTTTAGTGCTATATTGAACCCTTTTTATAAAGGTTCTTTATGGAATCATATACAACACATTCTCCATCAATCTGAAGAACCATTTAATCATGCAAAGTGTTCATGGTTCTATATAGAACCACTGTCTTTACTAAAGAACCCCTGCAGAGCTGTCTTTACGAGAACTGAAGTCAGAGTCTTCAGAGTGTAGTGAGGGAGTGTGTCAGTGAAGCGAGTGTGTGTTCATGTGTGTGTCTTTGTGCTGTTTCAGACATTCCTGACGACCCCCAGGCCGCAGAGGCGTACTACTGCGAGGACGGGTTCGAGTCCTGCTCGGATGAAGACGATTCCTCTGCAGCTCCGTCCTCCTCCGCCCGTTTCTGCCAGACGTCCGGACAGGTGAGGAAGAGACGTCCCTTCGGACGAGCGGATAAAAGCAAAACTGTCAGTCAGATAAAATGACCTGAGAGAGATTTAAATGTCAGTGATGTCCGTATCTTTTCTTGAGGGTGCTTTAGCATTCAGGTCACTCTCAGGAAGGAAACAAAGAGTGAATTGAGTAATTTAAGTGTAATTCCACCATTTTTTTCTTGCATAATTAAGTGGTTAATGTGTAAACAATGTCATTGAGTGGTTTGATGTGAAATAGTTCATTGTAGAGAAACTTACCAGGTTACAGTGGTGGTCATAGGAACCAGGGGCTGGATTCACAAAAGTGTCTTGAGAAAGAAAATCTTAAATAAGACGTTTTAAACATTAATATAGCGGCAAACAGCTACTTTCAGTGTAAAGATGTGGTGGAGTGATGCCGTGTGTGCATTTTAGTCCTGCCCTGTCAAAATGTCGCCCTCCCCGTGTTTCGTTTAGCCTTCCCCAGACAGTGACCGCCCACACAGCAGTGTGCGTGGAACCGGGAGCTTAGGTGCTGCAATGTAGTCTAAGTTCCACAAAGATCTACAAAAGTGCGTTGGCCTTGACAATGCACATCCATGAACTTGAGGGGCGGAGCTTCTGAAGGAGCACTGAAGGGAGGGGCTTGTTTGTTTTGCTGTTGAGTTCAAGTGTCAACAATCGTCCTCCATGGGCCGGATTCACAAAAGTGTCTTAAGAAAGAAAATCCTCCTCCTTAATTGTGTGTTTTTTCTTAACTTCAATCTTAAGAAAAATGTTATTCTTCAAATAACTTCTTAAGAATTACCTTTTTTATAGTTTCTTAAGAATAATTCTAAGAGCAAGAGTTTTTCTTAAAAACATTGTTTTTAAATGTTTTCTTAACCGTACCACAGCCTCACACTGTCTTAGGCTGTTAGAGTTGATGAGGTCAGCGTCTAAATTTATCAGTTTATCTACATCTGCCCATCCTCGTCTCTTGCTTTCTGCCATCACCCCACATTTATTGTATTTTCCAAGGAGGATTTTTTTCCTGTTGGCTATTTCTTGCACCGTAACCTCTAGTTTCTTGTTGGCTAATTTTTTAAACGCTTGCCTTTATGTTTTTCCTCCATTTTGCTCTGAGCAGATTAAACTAAATAACAGAAATAACAGTTAATACAAATTAAAAATGTATCTTGCGTCGTTTATGGTGCATGGTAAAATGCAACTTAGCCGGCATAAGAATACAATGAAGATTTTCTTAAGAAAATCATAAGAAAATAATTACGATTATTTTAAGAGAATATTTGAGATTTTCTCACTTTTTTCGAGAACTGCATTTAAAAACATTCCTATGAACTTCTTAGTGTTTGTCTTAAGAACATTTGCAACTTTTTTCTCAAGAAAGTTTTTGTGAATCCGGCCCCTGAATCGTATAGTACTCCTTTAACTTCATTCTTAAGAAAAAAGTTACGAAAGATTGTTATACATCAAATCAAGGAGTATTTTTTCCCTATTGGCTGTTTCTTCCTCCATCACCTCTGGATCTTTAGAATTTTTTAAACGCTTGGTTTGATGTTTTTCCCCTATTTTGCTCCTCTGAATGGATGAATACAAATTTGAAATGTATCTTGTGCCATTTATGGTAAGCTGCAAAATGCAACACAGCATATTAAGAAAATAAAGATTTTCTTAATAAAATCTCAAGAAAATAATTAAGATTATAGAAAATATTTTGGAACTTGGAGAACTTGGAGAATTGCGTTTAAGAACATTCTGAACTTATTATTGTTTGTCTTGAGAGCCTTTGCAAGTTTTTTCTTAAGAAAACTTTTATGAATCCGGCTCCAGATGTTTGAAGAGCTTAATTCCTTTAAAAATGCATTTTTAAATGCATATTCATGGTGGAGGGATACATGCAGGGTATTGTGCTGCAAAATAGTCCCCAAAGAATTTCTTTTCAGATTTATCACTATTTTCCATCATCAACATTCATATAAACTCAGAAGACTCGTGTAGGTTCACTGGTGGTTCTGGATAGTAAATAAAATGTCTATATTTGTGTTGTAGTCATGGCGACCCCTGGTTCCTATCACCACCACTGTAATGACATCTGAACCATTTCACACCAAGCCTCTCTGAATCACTTTCAGAACTGCAGTGTTTCCTGACGTTAACCCATAAAATGTCAAGTTTGAGGCGTCATTATAAAGTCTCTCTGTATTCATTATAAAAGGCAACACCATATAATTGGCGTTATACATCGTTGCATGATACCATGCACTGTTTTCTGCACACTCCATATGGATTTTTCACCCTTGAACTGCAGCTGATTGTTTGGCTGAATAATTTACTTCTAAACAAAGCAAACAAACACAGGAAATCCAACCAATTAAAGAAGGAGGTAATTAGAATCCTCTTTGTTGTGCTAAGCAGTGTTTAACAGTGCTGTAGGTGGAAAGTTAAACGTTCAGAGTTTTAAATCACTTCAGCTGTTCGCTGGAACAGAAGTGAGTCAGACTGGTGCGCTGACGTCCACTCCAGGCCACTCCTGGAGGAAAAGCGCAAACGTGGCTAATAACGAAAATGTTAAACGGGCCGCACTAATTGGTGCCCATTGGCTGCCATTTATTCTTCACCACCGTAGCACTTCTGTCCAAACTACTCTCTAAAGGTCATTCTAGAGTGTCTACAGAGTGAAGCACGGCGCTGAGGTGCATCATTGCCTGAGGGAGAGACTTTTATTGTGTTCTTTATTGCCAACTACCTGAACTCTCACACAGTCTGGACATTAAGGATGGCTTTAGATGCTGATGATTGCCATCCCCCACCACGATAATTGGGTTAGAGGAGGCTTGTTGGGAGACAGATTGCAGTAGCATCTCTCTATTATTGTGGGTTTTCAGAGATAAAGTCATGCTCACTCTGCCTTATTGCACTCATTAGATTGTCCTATTTCCCACCTGCAAAACTATAATTACAAAGGCTTTGTGTTCAGAAGTGCTTCCTGTCCAGAAGCATAAAGGATTTGCTAGACAAGCCTATTTGGTAAAAGCTAGTGAGCAAGCTAGTTAGCTAGACTGATTATCTTAGTATTTTCTCCCATTGTAAAAATATACACTGGTTGCAGATGGAACTTGGAGGATTTACTAGCCAGGTCTGTGTGGTTAACGCAGTGTTAGCAAGCTAGATTGATTCATTTAGGTATTTTTCTACTGTAAACATGTACAGAATGAACATCCCTGCTGAAAAGACCAGCAGACACCAGCATGAATTCCATCCTGGTCTAAGCTGGTTTATGCTGGTTTGTGCTGGTCTGGTGCTGGTTTAGTTGGTCACCCAGTATGGTCAACATACCAGCAACACAACTCTCCATTTTTGTCGTTTTTTCAGTTTTTCACATAATTTGAAAATGCCTGGTCTTTTACATTGTGTGTAAATGTCATGATGAATGGACCAAAAGAAACGGCCCAAAATTACTTGGGGAAACGTCTGGTTCCATTGACTTACAGTAAAAGTAAAGTATGTTTTTTCCTTCTCCTGTAAAGTATTTGGTAAAGGCACCATTAATGTTAGCTAGTTAGCTATTTAGCTAGACTGATTTATTTTGGTATGTTCCTAAAATTGTCCCCCCACTGGCAAAATGTATGTAACTGCCATTTTTATTTTAACATTTTTCCCCATTGTTAAAATTACCTAGCTAGTTAGGTAGTCTGCTAATGTTAGCTAGTTAGCAGGCCTGATTATTTTAGTGTTTTCTCCCATAGTAAAAACAATACAATGGTTACAGTGGAACATGGAGGATTTGCTAGCCAAGCCGGTTTGGTTAAACCACTGTTCGCTAGCTAGATTGATTTATTTAGGTATTTTCCTAAAAATCCCCACTGAATGAAAACAGTAGTTACAGATGGAAACATCCCTGCTGAAAAGACCAGCAGACACCAGTGTGAATTCCATCCTGGTCTAAGCTTGTTTTTGCTGGTTTACGCTGGTCTGGTGCTGGTTTAGTTGGTCAACCAGCATGGTCAGCGTACCAGCATCCGAAACACAACATATCACTGCTGTCGGAACAAAACCTCATATCTCCATTTTGGTCGTTTTTCAGTTTTTGACATAATTTGAAAATGCCTTTCACCTTTTACACTGTGTGTAAATTTAATGATGAATGGACCAAAAGAAACGACCAAAATTACTTGGAAAAATGTCTGGTTCCATTGATTCCAAGATAAATTTGTTTTTTTTCCTTCTCCTGTAAAGTTGTCGTTTTGGAGGTGCAAGGTTTTGTTCCAACAACAGCGAAATGCAGGTTTTGCTGGTGACTATGCTGGCTTTTCTTGAGGGGATAGAAGATTTCCTAGCCAAGCTTATTCGGTAATTGCACCGCCAATGATTTTTTTTGGTATGTTCCTAAAATTGTCCTTCATTGTAAAAATGTATGTAATGCCAACAGATGGAAATGTGGAGGATTTTCAAGCGCTGCTAGAAACGAATGCACCCCTAACATTAGCTAGTTAGCTAGCTTGACCTATTTTGGTATCTTCTTAACATTTTCCCCCATTGTTAAAATTAACAGCAGTTACTGATGGAAACACACAAGCTTTTCCAGCCAAGACTACTTGGAAAATGCACTGCTAATATTAGCTAGTTAGCAAAAACGGTCCCTCATTGCGAAAATGTACACAATGCAAACAATGGTTACAGATTCTCTAGCCAAGCCTAGCTGGTAAAGATACCACTAACAATAGCTAGTTAGCTAGCCAGTGCTAGCTAGTTTGGGATCTATTTCCCCTCATTGTTAAAATGTACATAATGCAATCAGCGCTTAAATATGGAAACAGAAGATTTTCTAGCCGAGACTGTTTGGTAAGCTCACTGCTAATGTTAGCTATTTGGCTAGCCTGATTTATTTAGGTATTTTTCCTAAAATGTGCCCCCCACAGAAAAACTACACGGGCCTCATTCGCCAACCCTTCTTAAGTAGAAACAACTTCTTAAACCCACTTCTGCAGACGAAGATTCTGTCATTCACCAGTGTCTCTTATGTGGGATTTGTTCTTAGGTAAGAACAGAATCTGCACACTCAAGAGCACAAAGGTGAGAACAGTTCTGCGCTTTAAGAACACGTCATGAATCTGGCGTAACTTTGGTATTTTCCTAACATTTCCTCACATTAATAAAACGTACAAAATGCAAACAGAAATCTCAGACGTACGTAAATGTCTGTGGCGTAATTCGTGGCTTCTAAAACTAGAAAAATTAAGGATTATCTACGTTCACCCACTCAGGTCAATCTTTCCTCCAGCATAATGAAAGGTCAGGATTCAGAACTGTACAGTTTCCACGTGTGATATTTACAGTAATTCTGATGCTACATGAAGGCAGCATCAGCTACACTGGACTCTGCCTGAGGTTTCAGTGAATTGTGAATCGGCCTGGTCCACCAGTTCACAGGGGGATTCTTCTCCAAAGCCTAGCGGACCGGACCATCTTAACACTCTCTGCTTGAATTATTCACACGCGGCACTGGATCTACTGTACGCATGACATGCTGGCCCCTGACATGGGGGCTGGAGGAGTGTCAGATTTTGGAGAGCATCTCTCCAGCTCCTCTGTCTCACACATGCTTTACTGCTTCAGGGAGTTTTGCTCAAATTTTTTAATGTACTATTCTGTCTATTCTGTTTTTTTCACACATTTATCTAGTTTTTTATTTTACTTTATTTGGTCTAATGACCTGTTTCACGGAGGAGGTGTATTTGTGTGAATTTCATGGCGTACCAAAACCAATTAGTGCATGTTACAATAATAGTTTGACGAAAAATGGACTTGCTTATGTGGTTTCGGAAAATGCAGACTTCAAAAAAGCTTCTACTGCTGATTTATCTACACAGCTTTTTGCCCATTTTTACACTTGGACCTCAGTAGATTACTGATTAAAAATGGGCAAAAAGCTGTGTAGATAAATCAGCAGTAGAAGCTTTTTTGAAGTCTGCATTTTCCGAAACCACATAAGCAAGTCCATTTTTAATCATTAGCCCTTTTCACACTCGGACCTCAGTAGGTTACTGACATACCTTTACTTTTACCTTTGTTTTGGTTTTATGTGCTTTGTACTTCCTTTTAGTTATTTGTTTTATTAATTTTAAGCCACTTTTTTGTTTTTCACTCTTGAGCACTTTTTATTTTTCCTTTTGATTTTCTTTGCTTTTATTTTATTTATGTAAAGCACAAAGTGCCTCGTTCACAAATTGTTCTCAAGAAGAAATTTCTTCTTAAAACCCACTTTTCACAAAGTTTTTAAAAATGCTCAGATGAGGTTTTACACGCCCGTTTACAGCCCTATAATTTAGCCCTGGAATAAAACAGTCTGTTTTCCCTTTTTTGAACGGCTCAGTAATATTGATGAGCTCTGCTCTGATTGGCTGGTTTACAGTGAGGCACTGTGACGGCTCACACAGAAACAACATGTCAAAATAGACACAGGCGGGAAAATAAAATGAACCTCTGTGTAAAAAAGTTGGTCCTCATGCTGTTATCCAGCTGTGCCAGTCACTTGGAGCTTGCAGAGCAAACTAACAACTTTGAATGAAAGTTCCTCCTTAATTAAAGTGAATTGAGGATCCTGTTAAAGATGTGGGAGTTGAAGTCGGCCTCCTGTTCACCAGCTTGTTTTGCGAAATAATGATACCGCAGTTACATTCTGGCGTCTGTACAAGGTGTAGCATTTAAGGTGAAATGACGTTAGATTAAGAAGCTGGTGAATAGGAAGAACTTCAGTCTTGTTTAATAGTGAACGTCAGTCTGCTGACAGTTTGGTTCCTCGGGAAGGGAATGAAAAGTGCTAACATCCCTTCACAGCCTGGAGCTACATTTCTGCACACAGTCTGCCTTTTTTCATTGCTGCTCCAAACTCTTTAGAATTCTCTTCATAATCATGAATCTTTGGAGCTCTTCTTGAATCCCAGCACCTCCGTCACCCTGGATTTGACGACTGTAAATGCGACCACTGAAAGATGGTAGATTGCTCTCAGTTCTCTACACAAAAGATGGTTCTTTAGAGGGTTCTTTAGTTAAGAAAATGGCTCTGTATAGAACCATGAACACTCAAAGAACCCTCTGCATGATTCAAAGTTTTTTTGCATCATGAAAGCGTTCTTCAGATTGATCAGAATGCGCTGTAGATGGTTCTATATAGCACCCAGAAGGGTTCTTCTATGGTGGATGTCAAGCTTGCAACAATAAGCTTTTGTGTCTGTTGCACATTCATGCCCATTCTCCATCAGTCTGAAGAACCCTTTCATGATTCAAAGAACTCTTTAGTCATGCAGAGGGTTCTTGTGCTCATGGTTCTATATAGAACCATTTTCTTAACCATAGAACCGTTTAAGCACCATCCTTTTTAAGGGTGTGCTAAAAATGATCTCATGTGATGCTCTTTAGTGAGCGCGCTCCTCATGCTGGAGCTGACATAGTGCAGGACCGTCTCCCTGAGCTTTTCTCCAGAGAGATCAGCCGTCATCCCCTCGCGGCCCCCGGCTCACAGCTGCGATCCAATCTCCTCCAACAAGCGGCAAGCGGCGCGGCGGGCCAGGTCAGATTAAAACGATTTGTCACTGCTGCGAGAAACAGGGGAGATGAAACCTGAGGATGGGCTGGAATTGACTTCTGCTCCAGTGGATGTTTGATAATTAGCTGGTCCACAGAGAGAGCCCAGTTGCCCTGATTGGGCAGTACATTTTTATGGGGATGTTTTTTTTTGTGCGTGAGATGGAGTGGGTTTTTTCTCTTTATATATATACTGGGTGTGGGTACTACACTCATCTACTTGGTATCCCCAGTGGCAGACCCCAATTACAACACCCATCACAGAAGGAGAGACATTCCAGGGTTTCCCCAAACCAGCCTGAGAGCACAGACGGCCTCCACGCTTTACACATCCTACAATTTCTTGTAGTTTATTTTTCCACTTTTTCGTTTGTGTACTTTTATACACCAAAAACAAACATTGTTCATTTTCCAACCTCTCTTTGTTTTTTAGAATTAAACAGGTGGTTTCTATGTGCACCCTTAAGGCTGATAAACACCAATCAGGCAGAACATTATGACCACCTCCTTGTTTCTACACTCATTGTCCATTTTATCAGCTCCACTTACTATATAGGTGCACTTTGTAGTTCTACAGTTACAGACTGTAGTCCATCTGTTTCTCTGATACTTTGTTAGCCCCCTTTTACCCTGTTCTTCAGTGGTCAGGACCCCCATGGACCCTCACAGAGCAGGTACTATTTGGGTGGTGGATCATTCTCAGCACTGCAGTAACACTGACGTGGTGGTGGTGTGTTAGTGTGTGTTGTGCTGGTACGAGTGGATCAGACACAGCAGTGCTGCTGTATAAATGTAAATGTGTTGGTTAGTGACATCACAAAAACAATGAATTAAAACTTGGGTGTTTTTTGTAGCTTAGTTCCCACACATGGACTGTATGGGCTGTGGAGTGAATAATACTTTTTGATACCATTTTTATGTGATTTTTATTTGAAGGCCCTTTTGACTGATATATGCACTGTTCCCATTAGCTGTGAGACTGTCCTGCATCCTTTTATCTCTTTTAGTTCTCACCAACAAGTAAAAGCCAGTCTGAGATTTACTCTTGTCCGGTCTCTCACTCGGTCACTCTCTCTTTTCCTCTTCCTCGGTCTCTTTGCAGCCTCTGCCATGATGTCTGTGCTGGGAATATCAAGCTTATATCTAGCTGAGTTGTTGGTCTGTGACGTGGTGCCGTAAAGCGTTACGCAGTTCTGGCAAGAGGTTCTTGTGCTTCTCCTCAAAAGTTACATAGTGCTATAGCAGGCTATGGCAACGAGATGCCATTCTGACTATTATAAGACAGTGTAGAATCAAAATGATTTTAAAGCTGTTATTTTAAGGTAAAATTGTTGCATAATGTTGCTTTAATCAATTAATTTATTATGTGATTCATACCCTTGAAGATGAATGGAATCGGGGTGATTCAGTGGAACATGCAGAAAACAACAACATCATAAGGTTTTCTCTCTCTCTCTCTCTCTCTCTCTCTCTCTCTTGTTCTCTCTCTCGTTTAGGACAGTGATCTAGAAGCCATGGTGAGACACATGGAGAATGTTCTGGATGAGAAATACAGCAGTGAGTACAGAACACCCACATACTGTCATTCCTGTCATACAGTACCATACGGTACGGAAAAGTTTCCTGCCAGAGATGCGAGAAAAGTGGCTATAGCTGAGCTACAGCTTAAAGCAGAGCAAAGTAGGTCTGTGTTTTCGTTTATATTTTTTAGTCTATACTAGCACATTATACTACAGTTAGTTCCGGCCACGCAAGCTGATTGAGAAGCGTTCTAACCGTGCTGTTATTTCACCATAACATCACAGCTTTTTCACAAACACTCTACCACTCCGCTGAGACGCCATTGCTAAGCAACGACTTTGACAGCTGTAGGAGACGCTCAAGAACATTTGAACGTTTTTACTTCTTACTTCGCCACAAACAGAAAATGGACACTTTTAAGATCACGTTTGACCGACAGACGATTTGGACCGACTCTGAAGATGAGACAACACTAAATTCCCAAACTGTCAGTTTGTCTGTGGGCGGAGCTCGTTACTCTGACGTAGCAACAAGCTGCTCGTTAAGGAACTATAATTTGGTGAAGGAACTGCAAACATTAAACCATATTAAACGCCACGTTCACGGCCCAGTTTATTAATTTATTACTTTATTTATTTAACTGTAGTATTAAAGCAATAGAACCCTCGAGGAGTGTGTTATCGCCAATAACATCACGGCTGTGATGATCTACGGCGACCAAATCACAGCCATGAGGTTATTTTGGGATAACACACTCCCTCTAGTGATCCACTGCTTAATTAGCACATATTAAAACATAATTTCAGCCAAGATGGTAAAACGTTACTTCAATAAAATGGACATAAATGTGGCCTTCAAGGTGGTTTGATTTTTGTTGAAAGAATAAAATGGCTCTTCTTAACATTTGGGTTGCTGACCCCTGGCCTAGATGGACAGTTCTGCTTCATCCTCTCATTGAAGTTGTTAATAAAGAGCAGCCTTAACACAAAGGGAAGGTGGGGCCCTTGCGTAATTTGCGGGGCCCTATGCAACGCAGCGAGCATATAGGCTTGACCGGCTCTGAATTTAATCCTCTGAATACATTTACACATGAGGTCAAGAGGTCAGCAGATATATAGATGCACATACACACCTCACTTTCTTTACTGTTCACACAAGAGGTCAGTGGACATATATGTGCACACACGCACACTCTCGAGAAACAATGAGTCTGGATGACCACAGACGCTCCTCCGGAAATGAATGATAAAGCATTCCTTATAATCTTTCTCTCTCTCTCTCTCTCTCTCTCTCTCTCCTCTCTCTCTCTCTCTCTCTGTGTGATAATGAGCGTCTTCCCCATTGGAGTGAGTAACGAGGCAGTCTGCCTGTTCTTCTCTTCCTCCAAGCCACTCAGACATTTACATTGATTGGGTCATTCATGTGGAGCTATTTACGGGTTCTGGTCAGATCAAGTGCCTCTCCTGCACTTCCTCCAGGACAAAGCTGCAATCAGTGTTTCCGTCCTGCTCCCCGTTTCCGTCCTGACTGATGTTACCTCTTCAGGTTTCAGCGGCTTTTTTTGAATCTCCTGTTCGGCTCTAATCGCTGCCCTTTACTGTAACTTATAGACTTTTTGAGAGTTTTTGAGTGGTGGTTGAAAATGTCCATCATGCAACCGTCTCAAGTACAGTTAGCAAACAAAAAAAAGATAGAAAAATATTTGCCAATGAAAAAAGCAAAAGCTGTGTTTATAAATAAAAAAAAATATTGTTTTCATAAAGTAACCCGTAAATGATTTACAGCTTGTATAAGAAAAGCACTGACCAATAGAATGAGACGCTCTGCAGCAGCCTCACATGAGCCTAAGGTCACCAAGCCCAATGCTAAGCGTGGGCTAGAGGGGTATAAAGCCCCTCAGCATCGAAACAGCAGCGGAAATCTTCCCAGAAGATTAACACCCTATTAACACCGTTCATTTTTGGGTTCGTCAGCTCTTCAAGGGTTCTTTAGAAAAAAAAGTGTTCTATATAGAACCATGAACACTCAAAGGACCCTGTGCATCATTAAAGGATTCTTCAGATTGATGGAGAATGTGCTGTAGATGGTTCTATGTAGTACCCAAAGGGTTTTTCTATTGTTACAAGCTTAGCATGCTGCATAGAACCCTTTTCAAAAAGGTTTCATATAGAACCATCTACAGCACATTCTGAAGAACCTTTTCATAATGCAAAGAAACCTTTAATCATGCAAAGAGTTCTTTAAGTGTTCTATAGAGAACCATTTTATTTATTAAAGAACTCTTGAAGAACCATCATTTTAAGAGTGTACATCAGCTGCTGGCTGAACCAGGAAATAACAGGACCCAGTAATTTGCAGAGAGGATACAAATAATGATTTCAGCGCTTCTGTTGATTTTAGCTGCGATTGGTTATTGATCGCAAGCAGCTACAATATTAGCTTATGCCTTGAAATTTGCTCTGTGTGTGTACATTGTGCGTGTGTGTGTGTGTGTGTGTGTGTGTGTGTGTGTGTTCGTGCGTGCGTGTGTGTGTGTGTGTGTGTGTGTGTGTCTGTTCGTGTGTGTGTGTGTGTGTGTGTCTCTCTCTCAGATACACAGAAACAGATGGAGAATATGCTGGTGATATTTTCAGTTCTCAGTTTTTTCTGTCGCTCATATTTAATTACAGGGAACTGCTTTAATATCAACACTGTTACTGTAATATAATGTCAGGTATTAAAGCACCTCAGTGCCTCAGTAATCTCCTCCTTACGGACGCAGCACACCTCTCCGCATGGAGCGGTCAGTGAGAGCATTAAAGTGAAAGTTTAAACAGAAAATCAGTTTCAGTTTCTGAGTTGAGTCCAAGACTCAAAAAGAGAACCTTCATAAGAGCATGAGGAAGAACCACTGAGAGGAACCGAGGCTCAAAAAGAGAACCTTCCTAAAAGCATGAGGAAGAACCACTGAGAGGAACCGAGGCTCAAAAAGAGAACCTCCCTAAAAGCATAAGCAAGAACCACCGAGAGGAACTGAGGCTCAACAAGAGAACCTCCCTAAAAGCATAAGCAAGAACCACCAAGAGGAACTGAGACTCAAAAAGAGAACCTTCCTAAGAGCATGAGCAAGAACCACTGAGAGGAACCGAGGCTCAAAAAGAGAACCTTCCTAAAAGCATGAGGAAGAACCACTGAGAGGAACTGTGACTCAAAAGAGAACCTTCACAAGATCATGAGGAAGAACCACTGAGAGGAACCAAGACTCAAAAACAGAACCTTCCTAAATGCATGATGAAAACCACTGAGAGGAACCGAGACTCAAAAAGAGAACCTTGGTAGGAGCATGAGGAAGAACCACTGAGAGGAACCAAGGCTCAAAAAGAGAACCTTCCTAAGATCATGAGGAAGAACCACTGAGAGGAACCGAGGCTTAAAAATAAAACCTCCCTAAGAGCATGAGGAAAACCACTGAGCAGAACCGTGAGTCAAAAAGAGAACCTTTCTAAGATCATTAAAAAGAACCATGGAGAGGAACTGAGACTCAAAAAGAGAACCTCCCTAAGTGCGTGAGGCAGAACCGCTGAGAGGTACCTCAGATGTATCGATCGATGCAGTCTGGTTTGGTTTCTGACATTTAGCTTCTTTAGTTTAGCACTGCAGCTACGAGGCTAATACCACTAAGCAGAACCGAGACTCAAAGAGAACCTTGGTATGAGTGTGGAGAAGAACCACTGAGAGGAACCGTGACTCAAAGAGAACCTTGGTATGAGTGTGAGGAAGAACCACTGAGAGGAACCGTGACTCAAAGAGAACCTTCCTAAGAGCATGAAGAAGAACCACTGAGAGGAACCGTGACTCAAAGAGAACCTTGGTATGAGTGTGAGGAAGAACCACTAAGCGGAACCTAGACTCAAAGAGAACCTCCCGAAGAACCACTGGGAGATCACACAGAGAGAGTGTAGTTATGATCCAGAGCTGCAGTTTAGAGACACAGTAACTAAAAGCTGCCTGTAAAAAAGCACACAGAGAAGATTATGAGAGATTAATAAATGAGAATAATAAATAAAAAGACATAATAATAAAAGAAATAATGATAAAATGTAACTTAATGAAAAAAACGTGTTCTTTTCAAAAGCGCTGAGTGTGTCAGGCCTTATGAGATATTCTAAAATACACAATGAAGGGATTTGATGTGGGATGTGATGTAATCCCTCATTCTGGATCATGTCAGGCAGCATCGCTCTGACTCTGTAATAGAGCTTTTGGGTGGCTCAGATAAGACAACATTACAGGAATCCAGTCTAACAGACAAAAGGCATGGAGACGTTTCTCTGTCAGATATTAAAGGAACGTCTTAGACTTCAGGGACACGACAGAGGGATAGCAGGACTTTCTACAGACCGCACTGATGTGCTTCTTAAGGAAGTAACCTGCTCGGCTTAAAATGCTGAGTTCATTAAAACTAACCTAGTACTGCAGTCAAACTAGTTCTCTTAGCATGAGGAAGAACCACTGAGAGGAACTGTGACTCAAAAATAGAACCTCCATAAGAGCATGAGGAAGAACCACTGAGAGGAACTGTGACTCAAAAAGAGAACGTCCCTAAGAGCATGAGGAAGAACCACTGAGAGGAACCGAGACTCAAAAAGAGAACGTCCCTGAGAGCATGAGGAAGAACCATTGAGAGGAACCGAGACTCAAAAAGAGGACTTTCCTCAGAACATGAGGAAGAACCACTGAGAGGAACTGAGACTCAAAAATAGAACCTCCCTAAAAACATTTGCCTATTCAGCCTACAGCAGTTTAGCCCCGCCCACTCACACTGCATTTATATGGAGTTTTATCCTGGACTGCTTTTTCGACGAGGCACAATGCAGGACAGCCAATCAAGACAAAAGAAATGTACATATTTGAATCTTAAAGAATCAGTGAGATAAACAGCCTGTTTGGTTGTAAAGGATAAAGAGAGGTTGAAAAATGGCCTCATAAAAGACTGAACAAATAAAGATAAACGAATAGAAGGCCACCTTTTTTCGAACAGCCCTTATTAGATGATCTTTATTGTTTAAATTATTAACAGGCTGTTTGTGATTCTCAACAGTCTCATGCTGTGTTCACATGTTTGCAATAGGCCAGGAGTCACAACCCAAATGTTGAAGAGCCATTTGGTCTTTTTTTCAGTATAAATCAAACCACCTTGGGAGCCACAATATTTTATGTCCATTTTACCATCTTGGCTGTAAATCTGTCTCAGTACATGCTGATGTACTAGAATAGGCTAAAAAATATAAATGAAAACTCAGACTTACTTTGCTCTGCTTTAAGCTTTCAGCTCAGCTAAAGCTGCTTTTCTCGCATCTCCAGCAGGAAACTTTTCCTCAAAACTAGAACAGTTTCTTGTAAAATGTCTCTCAACAGTCAAGTTTTTACGAGGCTGAAGTCGCTTCTCATTCGCCAGCTTCTTGTTTGAATTTTCCTGTTCCACCTTAAATGGCACCTGATGTGCCACAATGTAACTAATGCACCATTTAAGGTGGAACAGGAAAATTCGGACAAGAGTCATATTTTCATTAAAACACAAAAAGGTTTACTAAATTGCAGAAAATATATGTTTTGGTAGTGACTGTTCTAAATGTTCCACACTGATTTTCAGACTTTGGGACACATTAACTTCAAAACAATGGGATCTAACTGCTCAGCATGTGGCCACGAGGAAATGCAAACGTTTTGTGTTTCGGGAATGACATGAAAATATGGAGCAGCGCTTTTTTTTATTAATTAAAAAAATTATGGAGCCCCACTGCTGACATCCCATGTAAATAAAAATAATGCGTGGCCATGACTTATTAACATGTGGAAACAAGATCGTAATGCGTAGCCACAACTTAGTAGGGCGTGGGAATGAGATAATTAAGTCGTGGCCATGACTTAGTAAGGCACGGGAATGAGATCATGCAATCCCCTGAGCCGACAGTACATGACTGAAGTGCCCTTGAGCAAGACACCTAACCCCCAACTGCTCCTCGGGCGCCGGATAGGGCTGCCCACCGCTTTGGGCAAGTGTGCTCACTGCCCCCTAGTGTGTGTGTTCACTAGTGTGTATGTGGGTTAAATGTACGGATGGGTTAAATGTGAAGGTGAAATTTCCCCATCATGGGACTAATAAGGGTCACTTAATCTTAATCTTCCCACGCCTTACTAAATTGTGGACACGCATTACAATCTCAATCCCATGCCTTACTAAGTTGTGGCCACGACTTAATTATCTTGTTCCCATATCTTACGCATTATTTTTATTTATACACCAGTCACCAGTGGGGTTCTGTAAAAGTTTAACTCATGATAAATCTAAATCTTCCAGCTTCACTTTAAAATAAATCAAAACAGTGTTTTAAAAAATAAAAAAAAATACAAAAAATTAAAATTTTGGCAGTAAAGAGTGTAAAGAGTGATGATTTGTCCATATTTAGCTTATTAATATCTCTATAAATAGTTTTAATGTGTACAGATTTTCTAGCACCAGTGCTGCCTCCTCAAAAAGTTCACATCCAGCCCTGCTGCACATGATTGCAGTGTCCTTGGCACCACTCTCCAGGAGCAACCACACACACACACACACACACACACACACACACACACACACACACACACTGGCTGTGGTCTGGGCGAGTGAACCGTAACGCACACGTCGGCGTGCCTGACAGCTCAGAGAGGCTCTTTTTTCTGCATGAGCACCTGTGGCAGAGCTACTCTCTCTCATGTCTGCCTTCCCTCAGCACTGGCCTACATAACACACCCCACACAAACAAACTCCACAGCAAACTTTCAGAGAGCCACTGCGCTCAGACGACTAAAGGAGCAAAACAAGAGGCAAAAAACTAAAGAAGAAACTTCAGCTCTGCAGATCTCTCTGCTCACAGCCTCAAAGCTCCGGCACAAAACTAAAGAAGCACAATTCAGCACTAAACAGGGCTAAACAAGACGCCTGCTCATCCAGCGTTGTCCCTGTTTATAGATGACAGTGTGTTGTACAGTGTTAGAAACCACAGAATCAAGTCTATTAGAGATCACTTTAAGAAGAACACCACTAATATTTTGACATGTCTGCATAATTAAATGGTTGAGATGTAAACAGAGTCGTTCAGAGTGGTTTGGTGTGAAACGCTCTGTTCTAGAGAAACTTACAGAGTCAGAACTGTTCACAGTGGTGGTGATAGGAACCAGACGTCCACCTCTAAAAGCTCCCTCACAGAAAGTTACTACAGTAGTTATGAATGGTTATGAATTCACTGCTGATGTCTGAGACATTGAGTGTGTTTGCATGCACTTAATAATCTGATAACTGCAGAAAATCAGATTTTGTCAGCAATTCCGATCAACACGTTTAAATGCACTTGGGTAATCAGATAATGGGGAAACTCCAGGTCTACATGAGTCAGACAGTGATCAGATTTGCTTTACAACCAGCCAATAGACTCACAGAAGAAGACGTGACATAAACGTAATGTAAAACTCAAACTTCATGCTTTTTTAGAAAACATTGCGCCACTTTACCTGAAAATATGAACAAACATCATCTAGAAGATGAAGAATATTTAAATCCCTCATTTCATCAAGCATGTATTTGGTTTCAGAGTCACCCCCAAAGTGTTTTGCTGCGTCTCGCGGCGACGCTGCTCGCTTATTTCTGGTACCACTGTCTGAAATCTGAAAGAAATCAGAGTAAGAGTTCACATGCACTGAGAAATCTGATTACTGAGCTAAAACCTCTTTATCAGATTTCTTAATCAGAATTTCTAGATCGGAGTATGGTGTCTATGACCATTTGAACGATCAGACAACTGCAGAAATCCCTACTAAATTATGATTGGATTATTGAGTGCATGTAAAGGCACTCGCTGTTTTAAAACAATTTTGAGAATGTTTAGGCCTAAAACATTTTTTTGGCAGAGAGGTACATGCAGGGCGCTGTGAGGCAAAATAGTCCCCAAAGAAAACTGATTATTTCAGATTTTCCACTATTTTCCATCATCAACATTCCATATAAACTCAGAAGACTCGTGTAGGTTCACTGGTGGTTCTGGATAGTAAATAAAATGTCTATATCTGTGTTGTAGTCATGGCGACCCCTGGTTCCTATCACCACCACTATAAAGAAATCTGAACCATTTTCACACCAAACCACTCTGAATCACTCTTAATGTATCGTCAGGTGGAAACTACAATAAATTTCCGCTTTAATATACTAAACTCATAACTTCCCAATATCTTCCAGTTATACAGTGCAATACAGAGCTTTCTCTCAAACACACTGGAGATGAATTCTCTGACAGACTCCGCTCGGTGTGCATCATCCCGCGGCGTCGTTTGTTTATGGCGTTTTATGCGTCCTGTCTGTTGTTTCTTCGGACTCAGCGCTGGGTTATAATGGAGGTTTCTCTGTGATGTATTAGATCAATACTGAGATTCAGCGCTGCTGATGAACTCCCAGCGCTCTCACAGCTTAAAGCAATACTTCACCTAAACATGAGGCTGTGAATGAATGAAAGGTAGCTGGAACATAACGGCCTGATTTTGTGCTTATAATGCTAAACATTAGATTTCATGTATTATTACTGCCACTCGCCAGGCTTATTATATCCTAAGGCTGTAACATGTACTTGTACATGCAAAGCAATGCAAACTAAGCTGTTCTTTAAAGGTTCATATCAGGTTCATAACTGAATTTTCCTCACATTTTAAAGGTTAAATTTTAAAAATGAATGGAGTAAGTAGGTCCTCATGAGTGAAATGAAGTAACACAAGTGTGCATGTGTGTTTAAGTAGGGGAAGCAGAGAGTAGTGACCCTCAGTCTGGTCTGCAAAGCATGTCCAGTATCAACACTGCAATGGCTGAGAGCAGAATACAACACATCAGAGAGTGAGTGACCAACTAATACACACACACACACGCAAACACACACACACACGCAAACACACACACACGGACTTGACTTGGTAACAACTACTAAAAGTCTTGGTCTTTACTCGGACTCGGCTACTTAAAAATGTTGGTTTTGACTCAGACTTGAATACTAAAAATCTTGGTCTTGACTCAGACTTGAATACTAAAAATCTTGGTCTCGACTCAGACTCAACTACTAAAAGTTGTGGTCTTGACTCAGACTCGACTACTAAAAGTCTTGGTTTTGACTCTGACTCAACTAGTAAAAATCTTGGTCTTGACTCAGACTTGACTACTAAAAATATTGGTCTTGACTCAGACTTGACTACTAAAAATCTTGGTCTCCACTTGGACTTGACTACTAAAAGTCATTGTCTTGACTCGGACTTGACTACTAAAAGTCATTGTCTTGACTCGGACTTGACTAGTAAAAGTCGTGGTCTTGACTCGGACTCGACGATTAAAAGTCTTGGTCTTGACTCTGACTTGACTACTAAAAATCTTGGTCTTGACTCAGACTTGACTACTAAAAGTCTTGGTCTCAACTTGGACTCGACTACTAAAAGTCTTGGTCTTGACTCAGACTTGACTACTAAAAGTCGTGGTCTTGACTCAGACTTGACTACTAAAAGTCGTGGTCTTGACTCAGACTCGACTACTAAAAGTCTTGGTCTTGACTCAGACTTGACTACTAAAAGTCTTGGTCTCAACTTGGACTCGACAACTAAAAGTCTTCGTCTTGACTCAGACTCGACTACTAAAAGTCGTGATCTTGACTCGGACTCGACTACTAAAAGTCTTGGTCTTGACTCGGACTCAATGTGTCCCGATCTCGGTCTTGACTCGGATTCAGACCTAGCGATCTTGACTGCAACACTACTTATATACACAAAAACTCCCACTTCTCAGGCACATTTGATGCCGATTTGTAAATATTCAAACTGCTTTTTCTGCCTGTCCTGTTCCTCTCTGTGTGTTTCTGGTGTAGTTTCTCTTCTCCGGGCTGAATTCCTCCTTCAAGACAGACTCTCACTCCTGACATCACTCAGTGTTCTCCTCTCTGAATGTGTCGGTGTGCTTTGTAAGCTAAACTCTGCTGTACTGGATACATCATTTCAGCATAAATCTAGTTTAAGTGCTTGCTTTTCCCTACATCAACCATATAGAAAAGCAGATGGGTTTGCTGTAAAAGCCTTTAAACTCCTCCACGCTGCGAGAGTCCTGAATGCATTAGCACGTCCCCAGGCGTATGACTGCACCGTACAGCTAATTCTGCTCTGCTTCTGAGATTTTCAGATTTCAGTTTCTTCCCCAGAGCTGTTCCTGTTGCTCTGTGGCTCAGAGCCGTGTTCTGTATCAGCATGACTCAGCTCGCTGAGGTTTGGGCCTACCTGGCTAACCGGGTAAGACCTCATCGGAGGCCATCTGAGCACGTCTTTATAGTCAGGAATGAATGGAAGGACAGATGTTTGTGTGGTTAACATGTTTAATCCAGAATCGTAGTACAAAAAACAGGCAAGGGTCCACACACGGGCGAACCGGGCTATGCAGGCTAAGTTAAATCAGAATGAGAGAACACAAGCTAGAGGTCACTACACGAAAGAGAAAACATGGTCAAAAAGAGGTCAGACTAGAATCGAGAATGAGAAAACGAGCAAGAAGACAAAACCGGGAAGTCAAACACAGAAATAAAGGCTCGGTGATGCACAGCAGGCTGATACTATACTTCACACTGAGGCTACAGACACAGACAGGTTATATAGGCACTAGAACAGGTGTCAACAATCAATAATCAGGTGAATGGAGTGTGGAAAGGTGGATGGTTGAGAGTCCGTGGTCCGTGTGATCCCCCAGAGGATTCTGGGAGTTGGAGTGAACAGAGTGAGGAGGGTTAGTCTCTGCTAAGCTGGCAGGAGGCGTGACAGTTTGTTTATTGGTTTATTTTTGCATTTGTAAAAACATCCCATCCCCACAGATTATTCACTGATTACTATAAATGATTCTGAAACTATTGTGAATTATTCAGTAACCACTACTGATTGCCCACTAATTACTATGAATTCTTTGGTATCTACATTGAATTATTCAGTATCTGGCATGAATTATTCAGTATCTACTATGAATTATTCAGAATCTCCTTTGAATTATTCAGTATCTACTATGAATTATTCAGTATCTACTATGAATTATTCAGTATCTGTTATGAATTTTTCAGTATCTGCTATGAATTATTCAGTATCTGTTGTGAATTATTCAGTATCTACTATGATTTTTCAGTATCTACTATAAATTATTCAGTATCTACTATGAATTATTCAGAATCTCCTTTGAATTATTCAGTATCTGCTATGAATTATTCATTATCTACTGTGAATTATTCAGTAACTACTATGAATTTAGTATCCACTATGAATTTTTCAGTATCTATTATGAATTACTGAGTATCTACTTTGAATTATTCAGTATTTAGTGAGTGATTTAGTGAGTGATTAGGAATTTATTATGAATTCTTCAGTGAGTATGTACTATATAAGTTCAGGACTATGGACTATGCACCTGCTATGAATCATTCAGTATCTACTTTGGGTTACTAGGTAACTATGAATTATTCAGTAACTACTGTAAAATATATAATAACTATAATGAATTATTCATTGCCAACTTTGAATTATTCGGTATCTACTGTGAATTATTTAGTATCTACTATGAATCAGTACAGCACTGTATCAGCTTCAGTATCATGCTGTTTCTGAGTGATGTGTAGAGAGCTGATCTCTAACTGCTCTCCATGGGGTCCGCTGCGGAAGAAGACCCTCATAAGAGCCCCACAGGCGGCTGTGTTTGAGTTATGGGGATAATTGAGACAGTGTGTGTGTTGGCGATGAGTGGACAGTGCCTCTGCATCCAGACGGCTGCTTTGCCTGGATCAGACTGACATCAACACTTTCCGCTGACTTAGTGATTAGAAATGCAGCAGTAAGTTTCACAGCTTCATTTTGGCCTCTGGTCCAGTTAAAGTGATGGTTTAATTTCCTCAGCTCCACATTCTCTCTGTTTTATCAGCAGGGTCTGAGGTTGGGATGTGGATCATGGCTGATTTTGATATACAAGCGTCTGCAAAAGTTAAATGATATTTGGTTAACCTGCAGAGAGGGAAAAAAGTTTTTTTTGAAGAAGAAGGAGTTTCAGTGCTAAAGGCTGCCCCTTCAGATGAGCTAATGAGCTAACACTAGAGCTGGTCAGTACAACATTAGACGATGACGGAGTGGGGCTTGTTTTTTTTTTCTCAGCTTGTTGAGGTAAAATTGAAGACAGAGAAGTGTTTTCATTGTCTCTGTTCCACAGCTATCATAGTTAGCCTATCTGACAGCAGGTTAATCCCTTACATGGCTGGCAGGCCCAAAATTTTATTACACACTTCTATAACACACGGACATTTAGTTAACCTGCAGAGAAGGAGGCCTTTTTTGACCACCGTCATGGTCAAAAAGGTGCAACAGTGTCTCTACTCCCTACGGAGCCTCAAGAAAGCTCACCTGTGTCCCAGGATACTGGTGAACTTTTACCGCTGTGCCACTGTGACCAAACTCACAAACTGCATCTCAGTGTGGTTCGGCAACTGCTCCACATCTGACCGCAAAGCGCTCCAGCGAGTGGTCAAAACTGCCCAACGCATTACAAGTGCCCAGTTACCCTCCGTTGAGAACATTTTCCATAAGCGCTGCCTGGGCAGGCGAGGAACATCATCAAGGACGTTTCTCATCCTAACCATGGACTTTCTACCCTCCTCCCATCTGGCAGATGTTACAGAAGCCTCCGCTCCCGCACCAGCAGCCTCATGAAGGGGCTTATTCCCTGAGTCTGAGACCCTGCTGAACTCCACACCATCACTCACTCACTGCACTGTACTGTACTTTATATCCTAGTATTTTTACACTTTTCATATTTGCACAGTGTGTTACTGCACTATTCTTATTACCGTACAAGTTTACTCAGCACACACTCTTTTACATATGCTGCTCCCGAATTGTCTTCCCAGTTTATTCACTTACAGTTCCATCTGCTAGCTAAGTGTTCGTCTATCACACAGTGCCCGACGCTGAGAAGCTCAAGGCTAGCATGTTATTCCTCAGAGACACGTGGACTCTTTAGAAAAGATACCCATAAAGGGTTCTGTAAGCTACAGGTTCTCAAACCGTTCCTCAGGGCCCCCAGACAGTCCACATTTATCTCCAACCCAACTCGCAGTGCATAGCGATAGAGAAAAAGATGGGGACCCAGAGGGTCGGTAGATACTAAATTTGTGAGTGTGAAATCTTAAAAACCTGAAGAACCTTCACACAATGTAAAGGTTCTTTATAAATGTAAAGGGTTCTTCCTGGAACTTTTAAAGAACAGTCTGTTTGTGGTCTACCTGCTCTTTGTGGTCTGGTGTTTTTCTCTGTAACTGGCTGTGGCGCCCCCCGCTGAGCTGGAGGTGGCGATATTAATAACTGAAGAATGGAATTAGAGGCTGTCAACTCCATCACAGTGCTTCATACGAGAGAGAGAGAGAGAGAGAGAGAGAGAGAGAGAGAGAGAGAGAGAGAGAGAGAGAGAGAGAGATGAAGGAGAAGGAACAGGGAGAAATTTACAAAAGCTGCATATTCCTTTCTTTCTTGTGGAACATGACTTTTTCCATAATCATTTAATGTCATTTAATATCATTAATGACCAATTGACTTTTGTCAGCTGATCTTTTCAGCTCTACTCATGATATTCTCTGTATGTGTCACTCACCTGATCGAAATTCCTTATATGTAAAAACATATTTTACCCCTCGACTTATTATGTAGTTAGTAATCTTATTATACTACTGACTCATATTATTTTGAATTATTCAATATCTACCATAAATCATTCATTTATTGTTATTATTTATTCAATATCTATTGTGAATTACTATTTTTATATTGCTAAATTACTAGCAACTGAATTATC